TGCCACTACTTTAATTCAGGCCTGGAAAAGTGTACTCAGTCACTCACTCTGAATATTTGCTAATACAAGAGTTTGTGTATAGAACTATGTAGTAACTCTTAGCTTACCCTCGCTTTTAATTTTTCTAATCCATCTGTTAACCCTTCAAAGTGATTTTGTGTATCTGATATTGCTTGAAAGCTTTTAATGGATCCCGTAATCTGCCTCTTGCCTTTTTTTCCAATCAGAAATACCCAGTTGCTGCTGCTTTTGCTTCCAGCCATATTATTACAGTTTGAGCATCCCTAATCTGAAAATCCAAAATCTGCAATGTTCCAAAATTCGAAACTGCCAACATGATGCCACAGGTGGAAAATTCCACACACAACCTTATGTGATAGGTCACAGTCAAAACTTAGTGTCATGCACAGATATTAAAAATATTGCATAAATTTACATCAGGCTGCATGCATAAGGTGAAGCATTTATGAAACATAAATGAATTTATGTTTAGACTTCCATCTCACTCCCAAAATACCTATCTCATATATGTGGAAATATTCCAAAATCCAGAGCACTTTTGGTCTCAAGCATTTCAGATAAGTGATATGCAACCTGTACTATTATCTCTTCATAAAATTTTGTGAATTTTTGTGAAATTCCGTCTATTTTGTGAATGCAAGTCTATTTTGTGAATGCAAGTGTTTGTGTAGCCTTCTCTGATCTTTTTCCAGTAGGTCTATTATTTTTTGTAATTCCATGTACCCTACCTCTATTATAGTGCTTAACTGCAGTTTATTACCATTATTTATAGACTCTTTACCCACTAGAACAGCAGTCTCCAACCTTTTTGGCACCAGGGACCAGTTTGTGGAAGACAGTTTTTTCCACGGATGGGGTGTGGGGGTGGTGTTGATTTTGGGATAAAACTGTTCCATCTCAGGTCATCGGGCATTAGTTAGATTCATAAGGGGATTCTAAACTCCCCAACACTCTACTTCTTTCTTTTCATTGATATAGATAATATATGTGCATATTTAGGGGTACACGCTCCTTATTCTACTACTGTAAAATAGTAGAATTTATTCCTGCTAACTTTACTTTTGTACCACTTAACCAACTTCTATACCTCCCTCCTTCCCCCACCTCACTTAATATAAGCATCTTTTATTTTTTATTTTTGAGACAAAGTGCCCATCTCAGGTCATCGGGCATTAGTTAGATTCATAAGGAGTTAGCTTCATAGATCCCTCACATGTGAAGGTTCACATTCCTATGAGAGTCTAATGCCACAGCTGATCTGGCAGGAGACAGAGCTTTGGGGGTGGGTAATGCTTGTTCACAGCTCACCTCCTGTTGTGTGGTGGGGTGGGGGAGGGTGTTGGGGACCCCAGAACTAGAATATTAGCCCCTGAAGAGCAGAATATCTAACTTGCATTGTCTCCCTCAGATAAAAGGATTCAGTTTATTGTTAAACGGGTAGTGCCTGCATTAGTACCTAGGACATAGTAAGTGCTTAAGTAACTTTTGAATTAATTGGGTTTGTTCTCTTTGGTATAAGTATAAACCTGCAAAATAGCTCCTAAACCTAGATTGTAAAGAGAAGAAAGGTTAGAGATGCATTTCTATAGTTAATGATGGTTAATGTCCAAGAACGTAGCCATCCTTAGTAAAGAAAAAATAATACCAGGAAAACAGTTGGGCATCTATTCCTCTTAGGTTTCGTCAGGCACAATTATCTTGAAAGACTAGCAATCCCACATGAAACATACCCTGGTACTCATGTGTCCGTTGCAACTGTAAAGGTGCTTTAACTTCAAGGGAACTTTAGAGGAGAGAACTTTCCCACAGTTCACTTTCCTTAACAGTTCAGTGGCCCTGTTTACAGGATGAAAGTTCAGGTAGATTCTCTGGCATCTCATTTCAAAAGAATAGATACTGTCCTGCAAATATGGATGCAGAGACATCAACACTTACCGACCTGCAGCAACATTCATAGGAACTAAACAGATTTGCAGCCCAAAATGGCACTGGTAAAAAATACATGTCAGTCTGCACAGAGATTCTGAATGATTTACAATAAACAATAGATGATGTTAATACCTGTTTTTAAAAAGTTGAGTCCATCAGTCTGCTAACTAATCCCTTCCACAACGCAAGCAAGTTTGTATTCTTTGGAAAGATTTGGCACTAAGTTAAAAGTCACTTCTAAGTTTTGCAACAGTAAATAAGTTGATTTAATCTGTTACATAGATACCAACAGATTTCCAAAGTGGTAGTTGTAGGTACTACATAAAGTATGAGTTTCCCTACTATGGGCATATTAAAATGCTGCAAGTTGGTAGTTCCCAAGCCAGTTTGATCACCATAATCATTTTTGAAACTTACTAAAATACTCTTAGACTTCTTACCCACAGGTCCCGGAAACAAGATGTTAGATATCATCATTCGTAATTTTCTTACAGTGTAGCAATTTTTGAAGAACCATATGCTGCACTATTATAAAAATCTGCATTTTTGACAAACCCCTCATTCCCAGGTATTTAATTTGCAAATGCTGCATTGATAACACTTTGGTATATGGAACGAATTGCTTCTCTAAAATGGAAACTATGGAAAGCAATAGTGCAAAGACATTATATTTTCATTTCTTTTTAGGGGAGTGTTACTGTAATATTAGACATCCAGCCTGAGAAGTTTGGAGGTACTATTGCCATGAGCCATTTCTTCTGTAATTCAAAAGTTATCTTTGAAGTGACTCTGATTACCTGGGAATGAGAAGGCCTCCTTTCTGGGATGCAGGCGTGCATTTAACATAGACTTCAGGACAAATTAAGTTGATGTTTGCTGCAGGTTGCTATGAAAATTTAAATTCCACTGAACTCGCCCTCAATCTTTAGCACTCCTAATGGGTGATATTTAGGATTGGCTCTGGGAACATGTGTTAATTTTTCTTAGTAAAACTTATTTAAAGCTTCAACACTAATACTTCTCTAATTTTGGTATCATGATTCATTCTCAGCTTTAAAAATAAAGTATCTTGGATCAGTTTCCTTTTGTGGTAACTGCAAGCATATACAGTTGACTCTTAACTACTCAGGGGTTGGTCTCTGACCCACCTCCCATGCAGTCAAATTCACATAACTTTTCACTCCCCAAAAACCAGACCTAACTGCTAATAGCCTACTGTTGACTGTCAGCCTTACCAATAAACATAGTCAATTAACATATATTCTGTATGTTAAATGTATTATATACTGTCTTATTACAATAAAGTAACTAGATAAAATCAAATGGGCTGGGTATGGTGACTCGTGGCTAGTAATCCCTGTACTTTGGGAGGCCAAGGCGGGAGGATCATTTGAGCTCAGGAGTTCAAGACCACCCTGGGCAACAAAGTGAGACCCTGTCTCTACAAACCAGGCATGGTTGTGCATGCCTGTAGTCCTAGCTACTCAGGAGGCTGAGGCAGGAGGATTGCTTGAACCCAGGAGTTTAAGGCTGCAGTGAGCTATGATTGCACCACTGCACTCTAGCCTGGGTGACAGGTTGTGGTCCTGTTGAGTTTGAGACCAGCCTAGCTAACGTGGTGAAACCCCGTTTCTACTAAAAATACATAAAAATTAGCCAGGCATAATGGTTGGCGCCTGTAATCTCAGCTACTTGGGAGGCTGAGGCAGGAGAATTACTTGAACCTGGGAAGCAAAGGTTGCAATTATGAGGAGGAAAAAATATATTTACTGTTCATTAAGTAGGAGTGGATCATAAAGGTGTTCAATCTCGTTGAGTAGGCTGAGGAAGAGGAGAGGGGTCTTTCCTCAGGGGTGGCAGAGGCAGAAGAAAATTTGTGTATAAGTGGACGTGCACATTTTAAACCCATATTGTTCAAGGGTCACCTCTATTTAAAATTTCACATTCAAATAAATTTGACCCTTATTAATTATAATATATAATATCCATAATTCTTAGAATAGTAAATGAATGTTAGATTGTAAAATCATTGGCCTAGAGGAGTTGCCTAAAGATTGAAATAAACCAGCTCCTTGGCTTCTTTATTTTTGTAAATGAAGGGGAGACACAAAGTAAATTTCCAAGTCACCTTGAAGTCAGGCACTTTGAAGCCTAGCTATGAGTAAACTCAGTTACACTGTCTAATACCTATTTTAGCTTTTCTGTTTATGGCATAAACTTTAAGGCCAGTCTTCTTTTAAGAAGTCAAAAGTAGAACCTTTCTAGCAGAAGTTTTTTTCAAACATTAAATCCTAAACAAAAAAGACAAAAAAGTGACCAAATTACAGAACTCTAGGAGTTTGTCTTAGCTACCTACCACTGAAAGAGGATTTTTCTTTTAAAGAAAATTGGAATATTCTGATGAACTAAACTTTTTTTGTCAAACAGGTAAAGTCTTGTTAGCCCGGAAACTATCTCTTCTTAGGAGTGTTTAAGATTTGTTGAGAGGGAGAAGGCTTTATTTCTCACTTTACTTCTTTTTATTGATATAGATAATATTTGTGCATATTTTAGGGGCACATGTGATATTTTCATAATTGTGTAACATGTGTAATGGTCAAATCAGGGTAGTTGGAATAGCTGTCACCTCAAACATTTATCTTTGTGTTGGGAACATTACAAATCTTCTGGCTATTTTGAAATATACAATATGAATTATTAACTATAATTTTCCTACTGTACTGTAAAATAGTAGAACTTACTCCTTCTGACTTTACTTTTGTACCACTTAACCAACTTCTATACATCCCTCCTTCCCCCACCCCACCTAATATAAGCATCTTTTTTTTATTATTATTTTTGAGACAAAGTCTTGCTCTGTCACCCAGGCTGGAATGCACTGGCAAGATCTTGGCTCACTGCAGTCTTTGCCTCCCGATTTCAAGCATTTCTCCTGCCTCAGCTTCCCAAGTAGCTGGGATTACAGGCTTGTGTCACCACACCCGGCTAACTTGTATTTTTAGTAGAGATAGGGTTTCAGTATGTTGGCTAAGCTGATCTTGAACTCCTGACCTCAGGTGATCTGCCCACCTCGGCTTCTCAAAGTGCTGGGATTACAGGCGTGAGCCACCACGCCCAGCCATAAGCATCTTTTCAAAAGGTGGAGGGGGCTATCAACTGTTATTTTAAGCATAGTAAGAGTTCATCCTACTGCTTTTACAATGAATTACTGCAAGATGTTTAGACATTGTGATCTTTTTATTATGGTTACTGTTTTCCCTAAAGGTCAAACCAATAACTTTAGATCCTGAAGTACAACTCAAGAGTAGAAGCATCACTTAATTTAATACTACTAACTTAAAAGAATAGCAGATCTTGCTCAGTGTGGTGGCTCAGGCCTGTAATCCCAGCACTTTGGAATGCTGAGACAGGTGGAGCACCTGAGGTCAGGAGACCAGTGTGGCCAACATGGTAAAACCCTGTCTCTACTAAAAGTGTAAGAATTAGCCGGGTGTGGTGGCACACACCTGTAATCGCAGCTACTCAGGAGGCTGAGGCATGAAAATTGCTTTAATACGGTGGGCAGAGGTTGCAGTGGGCCAAGATTATGCCACTGCACTCCACCCTGGGTGACACAGTAAGACTCTGTCTCAAAAAAAGAAAAAAGAATAGTTGTGTATCTTCAGATACTTAGATGTCATGAGCTGGGACTTTAATGGGCTATTTTTTAAATTTGACATTAAAAATTCAGTCCTAATGCCAGTAAATAATTTTCGTTTAATTCCACATGTGTTTGGTGTATTCATCAAGCACCTTCTGAATGTTATTAGACTTTCTATATAGTTAACCTTGGATATTATATGCTGGTTCGGTAGATGTTTTTGTTTTGTTTTGATTTGGTTTGGTTTTTTTTTACACACGTCTTTTAGCTTGGTTGATGTGCCCTCAGCCTGAAAGATGACAACATGCTTATTAGACAACCAGATTACTTGACACCCTATGTTTGAGGTCCCGGGTTTAGATTGGTTATTAAATAAGCATTCATTAGGTTTTCAATTATTTATAAAAGCTAAATATAAAGAGCCACAAACTATTTCAACAAGTTTATACAGCCAAAGCATATAGATAAATGTATGAAACAATATAGTAAATACATGAGACCAAAAATTCTAGTCTTTCATCACTCTGGAAATAAACAGATGTTTTGTGTGTGATTGTTTCTGAGACTGCAGACAGGTATTTTTTATTATTAACTCCTACCGTGTTCAGTACATTATTCAGAAGATTAGCCAGGAACAGAAAATGTGCAATTTAATTTCCCTTAGGTTCAAGGTATAAGCTAAACAGAGTCTTTCCCTGCACAAGTTGTCAAATTGGCTGTTTCACTGGATAGTAGATGGGGACAGTGGGAATCTTGTTTGTTCATTGATGGGCGGGCGTCATTATTTAGATAATGGGGCATTTGGCTACCTTGAAAGTCATGTTTACTCCCTGTGTTACCCTCACTTCATTGAATTTCTTTACTTTGACTTTTGGAGCTCTGGGCAGAAATCACATATTAGTTTGGAGGACTTTATTGTTTTATTCAAGTTAAAGTATAGGGTTTCCCCAGATTGAAAACCAGAATAGCCCATGACCATTCCCTGTGGGATTCTGTAACTATTAAGGCAAAAGAAAATGCAGTTGCACTTATGAGTATATGGATAAAATAACGTGAAGTGAAAAGGGGAGAGATTTTTTTTAAAGATGTCTATATTTTAACTCCTCCTGACTAGTAAATTCAAGGATACCAGGACAAATGAGGTATAGACTTTAAACCTTCCAACATTCCATTGTGTTAATCATTCTTCCTCATCAAAGAGGCAGTAAGGGATAATTTAGAGTGACTACAGTTACAAATAATGTGCTATGTAAGCACCCAAGAGCAGAGATAAGGGTGGAATTAAGGGTGTTAAAGAAAATACGGCCTCCCTTCTTTGTTTGCCATTCGATTGTTTTTGCTGTCCCTGGAGACTCATATCTCTCTATTCCTAGGACCAGAGTTTACACAAGTGCCAAATACATGAACAAGAACACCCCATTAAAATTCCTGTGAAACATTATACATCTTAAGAAAGCAGATGTGTCTATGGGCTGTCACAAATACCAGTCTTGCTACGTTAAGCAAGTAATTAGTGGAGACATACTATTTAGGATTCGCCTAAAACCCTCCAAGATAGAGGTCCCCAATCCCGGCCCCTGACCAGCCACACCAGCAGGCGGTGAGCAGTAGGCCAGTGAACATCATACCTGAGCTCAGCCTCCTGTCAGATCAGTGGCCACATTAGATTATCATAGGTGTGAGAACCCAATTGTGAACTGCACATGTGTGGCATCTAGGTTGTGCTCTCCTTGTGAGAATCTAACGCCTGATAATCTGAGGTGGAAGAGTCTCATACCGAAACCATCCCTTGCCCTGTCCGTTGAAAAATTGTCTTCCACAAAATGGGTCCCTGGTGCCAAAAAGGTTGGGAACCACTGCTCTAAGGTGTCCAGTGTTGCCTAACCCCTCTCCCTACTATGCACCCATTAGTTTGCTGATTGATTTCTGTTTAAATAGCCACAGTATATTGGGGCCGTTTATTGCATCTTCGGTCAGCTCTTTTCCTCTGGGTCCCTAGAACTGAAGACAATATCCTAAGTTGATTCTGTCTCACAAAACATGAGTAAAATGAGGAATTGGTTAGGTAGGTGGCAAACAGCAAAGATTATTTGGACTTGTAGCTTGCTCCTTAAGTAGACTTTAACCAAGTAAGCTATTTGAGAAACAACCTTAATTTTTTTCAAGTGTTATTTTTAATTCTACAGGAATATTTTCATAAAGTCATAATGTCCATTGTGTTAGCAACTAGAATTACAATGGCAGGTTTTAGGAGATACTTGAAACGTGAGATGTTACATTTAAAACTATAAAATTACCGACGTAAGTATATGATTGTACCCATGTGGCAGTAAACTTAAAACTTCTAGTTTTTCAGGTTTTTTTGTTGTTTGACTTTAAAGAGTTTAAAAGGGGAAAAGGAGAGGAATATGTGAGGGAGACTGGCTTGCAAAGTCTAAAGTATTTATGTGGCCCTATATAGAAAAAGGTTGTGTATTCTGGACAAGAGCAATTAAAGGAAATAGTTTGGACTTAAGACTTCTAAAAATAAATAGTGCTCAAATTGCACTTGGAAGCCAGAGACCTTGCTAGTCATCAAAGGTCCAGTTCAGTCAGTACTTAGAAAAGAGGGAAGCCAGCTTAGCTAAGAGTCAGAATACAAATATTCAGAAACGATTAATAGGCAAATAATTATATATACCATGTCCCAGCCAGTAGATGGAATAATATGCCACCATTAAATTTATATTAACATGTAAAAATATTTGGAGTTTAGGGCTCTTACCCATATCTTAGTGACATAGAAAGAAAAGATAAATCACACGCAACCAGAAAATAGACATGTTGACTTTATTTTAGTACATAATCTGGTAGGATTTTTACATAATCTCACGTACTGGTGCTAGGTAGTTGGTTGTGCCAACTAGAAGTGTCACATAGTTAATATCCTTAAAGAGAAATGGAAGCTAATCAGGTAAGTAAACTGTGAGCTGAGGCCTACGTCAGGCTTGCTATTCAAAGAGAGTAAAGTAATTGGATAAATGTTAATGCCTCCTTGTTGGGAAAACAGTCTTCAAAAATGGCACCAAGTTACAGTTCTAATGCAATGGAGTCACTAATTACTATGAATACTTTTTTTACTTGGCGGATTACTAATAAAGGCAACTGGATACAATAAATGTAAAGATTTTCTTTTAAAACGACAGACTCTTCAGTGAGGCATAAACATTTTATAGAACAATTATCAAAGCTATATTGGACTTAAATATTGGTCATGAATGTATGCACACCCCATAGGTAGCTGCCCTCCTTGGGCAGCTTTTGACTCCTATGCCAAAATTTAAAATAAAGCGTGTTTAATCACATTCCCCAAAAGGAGAACTTCATGAGGCACTAATGAGTAATGTTTATTTTATGAATGATTTTACAGAAGAAATTACAGAGGACGTTTAAATTGCAAAAGTACTCCCTTTTTTTCCCCCCAACAAAATCCTTTGCAGTTATCACCTAAGCTTTTTGGTTGTGTGATTTAAGAGAAAAAAAAAAGACCTACCTTAACAATTTAAGTAGGCAGTATTGTTTCTCCTCAGCTTTTGTTTCTCACTGTCAGCTGCCTAGTCTTTGTAATTCTTCTTATGCAGAACAACTTAGCATTTGAAGCCACTATCACAAAAAAAAAAGAAGAAAAGAAAACAAATATAGCAGTTGAGGGCAGTATACAAGCTTAGCAAGTATATTCTGATACTTGCTTAGGAAGTAGGAAATGTGATCAGATTCTGTTCTTTACCATATGACACTGATTTGCAAGGTCCCACTGGGTACAGGACTACTGGTAAAAAGAACCCTGTAACTTCGTGTCACAGAGGGACACAGCCATATATATAAAACAGCATCTGCCTTAAATCTTTGGGGAACATCTTACTATATTTAACCGGCTAATTTTACTAGGTATTCAGGAAAGTGTGACTACAGTTCAGGGTCTTTGTTTTTTCTTTTAAGACAAGGTCTCGTTTTGTTGCTCAGGCTGGAGTACAGTGGCATGATAAAGGCTCATTGCAGCCTCAACATCCCTGGGCTCCAGCGATTCTTCCACCTTGGCTACCCAAAACTGGGATTATGGGTGTGAGCCACCACACCTGGCCTCTTATATCTTGATTAGGGTCCTGTCTGTCTGGGCCTGCAGAGGTTTAATTTGCTTAATCCCAGCACTTTTCCCTCAACATGGAGGTCCTTAGTCAACATTAACCAAGGTAATAAAGAGTTGAAAGTTTTAATCATAAGTAGGTGGAGGAGCATTTAAACTGGTTTAATAAACTTGAAATACGAATACGTTAAATATTCAAATAACAAAGCACTTGTGAAACAGGTTTTTCTATGGAAAGACAATTTTCCATCCAGCACATTTCATTTGGCTGGATTCCTTTTTTTTTTTTTTTTTGTAATAAATAGAACTTTGAAAATTCCAAATCAAATTTGCACTTTTGCATAAAAGGTTCACTTGGTGACTCTCATGCCTCCATAAGTATCTTCCATCTGATTCTACACAACCTATTGCCTTCAGTGTATCCTGGGACCAGCCAAAGAGATGATTCCAACCAGTGGAATCATCATTAAACCAGTGGTTCTTAAAATATGGACATTGAGTCAATCTGCCTCAGAATTACTGTAGATTCTGGACAATGTACCAAGTCAACATCAAATCAGTCCTACATTTTGAAAAGGTAACTGTAATGAAAAGATGTTTTGAGATGCTGAAATTGCAGTGAAGACAGTGTTCCCACCTTTTTTAAATGGTGTAATGTTAGCCTCATTTATGTATGGAGCAGATTAGTATTTTAATTTTTAAAAGCCTTTTAGGAATGCAGATGTTAACATGAACAGTGATAAAGGGGGGCATATTTGAGCAATGATTTTTAAAGAGCTTTGAATTTACAGTGCAATCCTAGCAAGAGAGGGAGAAAAGAACATCTATTTTGAGCTGCAGACATAATTGCACCACAGCCGAGATTTCATAGTCCCCGTCCTCTCTATTCCTGTTGAATTACATGATTAAAGGTAACTATATATATATATGAAGATGTTTAATTGTTGGAGGTAGGAGAATTTGTGGGGGGGGGGGGCTGAGAATTCACCTGGCCAGTGAGTTAAAAATGAGAAAAGGATTAGCAATTATCAAAATTTCTAAGTAGTTAAGTATCTGCATGGTGGGTTCAGTATAAACAAACATGGTACTCTCAAATGACTGTTGATGGGCTATTACATTAGCATCCTGTGAACCCTAGTCATAGCTGGAAAGGAGTCTTTAGAGAAATGGAAAAACCAGGTTCTTTGTGCAGAAGGAATATATCTTTTAAACACCCCCAAAGTATAGATTAAGACGTGATTGATGAAAAGTCTCCATTTTCTGATGATGATTTTATGAAACCAAAGTATAACTAAGAACCAACCATCTGAGCGCCAGTAGAGAGTGGAAAATAGGGAAAGGCAACATCTCAGTATGATTTCTGGAGTGAGCAGTCGTTCTTACTGGCTAGGACCATAAGCTTCATTTGTTAAAAGTTCCCAGAAATTAAGCCTGAATGAGCTTAGAGCTTAATAAGAGTTACTTCCAGAGATGCTTCTTTCTTCCCTCAAATATACAGATTAACTATTTTTGTGCCGTGGGCCTTTTGACAGCCCCAAAAAGCCCGTGGATCCCATCTCAATGTTTTACATGTGTATTACATAATGCTCACACATTCTAAATTTTATCTACGGACTCCTAGTTAGAAATCCCTTGTAAGGGGTGTTAGAGTTCTGAGAGAAGGCTGGTAAGTAATGAGGCTGGTAACTTATTTCAGCACCCTGTTCAGGACGGGAATATGTTGTGTTTCAGTTATTCTAGTTTCCAGCTCAATTGGTGTTGGAGAAACTAGCTCACTTATAAGTGACTCGGATGAAAACCCACGGGGAGGCATGTTTCTTTAGTAAGAAACCCTGAGAGCCCCCTTTGAAGTCAATCTGACTAATTAAGAGAAAGAGGTTATATGTATCTGTTTTACCTTCTGTGGATGTGATATATTATTGGCATCTCGTTCTGCACAGTCCAAATAAGGTAGACAAGATAATGATTGGTATATAACCATGGATACCGAAGATCCACTGCAAGGCCTGCCGATCACTTTACACAGAAGGAGCCCCTTCCCTGAGGTTTGCTTTCTCGGGGTGTGGTGGTACTTTGCCCTAGTAAACTACCAAGCAAGTCCGAACGTAAGCTCCTCCTCTGGAAGAGCGAGTTGTGGGCGGCTGCGCTGCGGGGGCAAACTCGCCGCATGCCCGCTGGCCAGAGCGAGTCGGGGCCTGGCGTTAGGGCATCCAGACTGGCGGGCATGGTACAGGGCGTATCCCTAGCCGCCTTCTGCGTCATATGGGGCGCCGCCCTCCAGCCTAGGAGAGACGGCCGCTAGGAGGGACAGAGGGGCCTTATCTGCCCGGGTCTTAATACCCCGGGCGGGGTCGGAAAGCGGGTTACAGAAGAGCGCCCAGTAAACTGCAGGGATGCGACTCGTCTCCAGGGACCGGAAACCCCCAGGGCCGCGCTAACCGGCAACAAACCATAATCCGATCCTGTCTTCGGGATCAGAAGAGAGGACAGCTGGCCCGCGCGCAAGCTCAGTCCCTCCTCCGCAGCCTACAGGAGGAGCCTCAGAAACGCACTTCCGCCGCGCGGGCCTACCTCCACGCAGGGCGCTTTCTAGGCCAGCTCACTTCCGCCCAGCGCTTTCTGCGGCTGGGGGAGTCGGGGCTTTCCTTTTCTCCTATTCTTGCCCTTGCTCTTGACTGCCCGTTTCCGTTTAACCCTTTTCTCCTCTCTTGGCCTCCAAAAAAGCAGTCGGCTGCCACTCTCGACTTTTTTGCCTGGGACACCGTCAGCTCACACTCCAAGCCCAGCGCAGCGGCCATCTTCGGTAAATCCTGACAGCAGCCCGCATGTCCATTGTCCTGTGTTCCCAGAGGGAAGAACCACTCATTTTTCGTGATCAAGCTAGGGGAGGCAATAATGGCCCTGCTGTAGGACTGGCTTATTTGAATTCCAACTTTTCTGCCACCTTACCCAGCTGTATCCAGATTTTGAAAGTTAATCTATCCGAGCTGCTTTATTAGGTTGATGAGATGATGCATGCAAAGCGCTTAGAACAGTACTAGGCATTAAGTATCCGACATAAAGGTTAAGTAAAAGTAAGGAAAAGCTATGGAGATGTATTGAGTATCTCTTTGCCCAATGACATATTAGTCGTGTTAAATATTGAAAGTGCCTTTGATTCTCTGTGCCCGTGGGAGAAGGCATGGGAATGGCCTTTTCCCACCTGTAATCAGAGCAGCTGTTTGAGAACTCCTCAATATGTTTGCCATCTCTCAAGCAGCCTTTCGGGCTGCTAATTCCTAAGAAGTTTTCGCTTTTATTCAAATTGGCTCATTCCTTTTTGCAAGGTTTTGTACTGAATGAGTATTCTCTTAAGGATGGTGGACAAGCAAAGGTTTGGTAGCATCACAATTTTAATTTCACAGGGAAAATGGATATGAAACATCTTCCCAAGTACATCTTAGGCTGCCACTTGACAGCAAGCCATAATGCTCCCCAACTCTTGGGCCCTACACCCCTTCTCCCCCACCCCCGTTTTAATTCGTCATTGCTCATGGACAGCTGGTTTGGGGACCAGGTGCAGATGATGGGAGGTGTCTTTAAAAAACAGCAAGTGAGAAATGCTAGTTCTGTTGTTTTAAGTTGCACTGATGACCGTGGTAGTTATGTGTGCTGGTGATAATTTATAAGGCGATGATAACGAATTAAGCATACAAAAGATTATTATCTTCCACAGGGAAAAAACTGCAAACTTGTGACACCATTTATGATCCGCTTAGTCTTGAGATACTGAGTAATAGAACTTTCTCCTTCCAGGCTGAATTGTGAACTTGGGTTTGGTTTCTTTCTGCAATCCCTACAGGGCCATAAATTCTTGGCCCTTCAGACTGTTTCTCGTTGGCCCGTAACAGACTCAGTGATACCATCAGTAACCACAATTCACAGTGGAGTCAAATTATCTTATTCCCACACCAGTTGGAGAACTGGAGATTCCTTAGAACTTTAACTGTCATGTTTTCAAAGTTGACATGGAAAATTTTACATGAAGCTTAAAAATACAACTAATCTGTGGTGATAGAGATGAGAAGAGTTAAGCTCTAAAATTAGAAGAGCAGTTCGTTTTGAGGCAGCACTGATTGGGAGGGAGCATGGAGTATATAACTATACATTTCTATATAATGTAAAAATTTATAGGTTTAAGATTTATGCATTTTATGTAAATTATACTACAATAAAATGAAAATGAAAGAAGACAAAGATCATATATAGTTCAATCAAATATTGTGTACAAAGTAATTTCTGTTAAACATATTTTTATGTGTATATGTACCTTTTACATGTATATGTTAAGGATATGCATTAAAATGGTAATAACTTCCTCTGCCTATTGGGATAATGGAGAGTTTTGTTACTTTTTGTCTTTTTTTAAAAAAAAAAACATGTTCTGCAATGATAATGTATTGCTTTTGTAATTATGAAAAACAAAAGTTATTTTGTAAATCTTTGTTACTGATAAGAGATGGGTATTCTATTAACTACTCAATTCTCATGTAGGAAAACAAAATACATAATGTGTATTTGATAAATCGAGAAACAGAAGCATTACTTAGAAATCTGAGTTACCTCTAAAATAATGACTGGCATTTGAAGTTGAGGATGGGTCTTGAGTTCCTTTGATTTTAAGCTCTTGGATATGAGGGTTGGGTGAGTTCCTTTTTCTCTTTCAAAATATATGTATGTTTAACTTTGCTAAATAAAAGTTAAAAGATACAGTGTATCTCAGTGCAATTTTTTAAAATTTATTTTCATCCAGGCTACCCTTTCCCTTTGTCATTCAGCAGGCAGAACAAGGAAAAATTAAACTTCTAACTGAAAGGTACTTTGAATAGCAATCAATATGAAGTTACAGACAAAATATAAATATTGCTCAATATAAAATGAGGTGTTTTTTTAATTGAGGGGACAGAAATACAGCTCAGTTATCATAAATTGCATCATATTCTTTGGGAGGGCCTTTTTGGCTTGCATCCATTACCAATTATATATCTTTTACCACTGTGGGAACTGTATTATCAAAACAGTTAAAGCTTGTGTATTTAGCGCCCTCTAGTGCATTATCTTAAAATAACATAGCATAGCTGATAATACTCCAAGCAGCTAGAAGAAATGTAAATCTCAGTGCACCTCCCCTCTTTGCATCTACATGTTATTTCCTAGCCATGAGACATTAGGCTGTGACCTTACAGTAGTTCTTTAATCTATAGGCTTCAATTTTCTCATCTGTAAAATGAGAACGATAAAAAATACTAAATAGGGTTCTGAGAACTGAATGGTCTATGCTTGTGACATGAACGCCTGGCACATAGTAGAAGCTCGATTAGTGCTAGCTGCTCTTACATATAAATAGATCGAGTCAGTACTAATATGATTAAAGACAAGTAATCTTGACTCAGATGTCAGAATCTGCTAGTAGGAAAGTGGAAAACGTTAAAGAGGAACCAAAAAGTAAAGAATGAAGGCCTAGGTTTGCTACTCATCTTTAGTTCCCTTTTGCTGAGTCAATTGATGCCAATTATGAAGTCTAGGAACATGTTAAATTCCTTTGCATCCTTCACAGTGCATATAATTGCACACTGACAACAAATATTTATATTTATGTTCAAGCTAAATGGTTAGAAAACAAGATGAAGAATGATAGAAAATAATACTTCAGTATAAAAATTTGTATTTGGATTTGACTTTCTGTTGTTTGAGGCAGAAGCCTTGAAGGCCATTTTTTTGGATTGTAGCTTCGAAACAGACTGTGGACAAGATTTGTGTTACCCGTGTGCAAATGAGCAGCATAATTATACTATGTTTCATATATTCACTATATGACTTTTGTGACTCATTACTGACAATGAGAATAGTAGGTTATAGAATCCTGCTCTCATCCATTCTCACCCATTTTCAGCATTGCATAGTCTGTACAGCTAAAATTTACTTCCTCAGACACATTCCAAGAGATACCTTCTCTCCACATAGTCTACATGACCATCTATAGTTCTTTTCCTGCACTGACAGACATAGACTTTGGTACTTAATACCAGTACTTCTTGGGCTCTCCAAGAACCCAGTTGCTTGAGGAAAGCATTGGGTGCTTCTCACCCCAAGTCCCCGGAATCTTTGGTTGGGCCTGTATATAATAAATGTCACCATTGCTTATTTTTCTTGTGTGCTTTATATTAGACATGTCACAGTGTTGTCTCCCCTTTCATTGCCTCAGTGCTAAACCAGACCAATTTTCTCATGAGAGGTACATGATACAGGTAACCATGTATTGTGCCTCTATTAATGCTTATACCCTATGCTAAGCATTTTACATACATTAATTCTTTCACAACCACATTCAGTAACAGAGTATTCCCACTTTCCCGAGGGGAGAATTTTCCTAGTTCATACAGGTACGTGGCAGAGCCAGACTTCCAACCCAAGTCTGTCTCTAGAACCTGTGGCTTCAACACTGCATCAGAAACTCCAAAGGGAAAATTTTGAGTTGTGTGTCTCCAGAAATTCCTGCAAGGAATATCGTGAAGCTCCCTTCAGGCACTAAGCCATAAGTTCTGAGGCTTCCTCCTTTTCAAGAAAACCCACCTACCTAGCCCTGATAATTATTAGAACTGTGATGACTCACATTAACTTGGCACCTCACAGTTTTCAAAGGTTGGCCCATTGGGTATCTCATTTTATTTTCCAGAAAACTTTTTGCATTCATCATCAACTGAGCCTCCAAGCTGGTGAAGCAAGTTCTTTTCTGGCAGAAGATTGCAGCTCCTATTATTTACCCCCCAGGGGATAAACTGCAAATCCCAGGCCTTACAGCTGGGAACACAGAGCTGGCTGTGCAAGCATATAAAAAACCTTGAGGCCGGGCGCAGTGGCTCAAGCCTGTAATCTCAGCACTTTGGGAGGCCGAGAAGGGCGGATCACGAGGTCAGGAGATGGAGACCATCCTGGCTAACACGGTGAAACCCCGTCTCTACTAAAAAAATACAAAAAACTAGCCGGGGGAGGTGGCGGGCGCCTGTAGTCCCAGCTACTCAGGAGGCAGAGGCAGGAGAATGGCGTAAACCCGGGAGGCGGAACTTACAGTGAGCCGAGATCCGGCCACTGCACTCCAGCCTGGGCAACAGAGCGAGACTCCGTCTCAAAAAAAAAAAAAAAAACCTTGACAAAGGAGGGGGTTCCACACTGGCTATCCTGATTACAGTGCATTGGGCAAGGAGCTCTCCCACCGGAAGCTGTATCACAGAACCAAAGGCACTGCCTTGGCGGGCAAAACCACATTCAGCAGTCCTTCAATCAGCCACGGCCTTGCCTGCCCGTGTGCTTATTTACTTACACTACGCATGTGGTCTCTTACAGTTGCTTTTCCTCTCCTTAACTCTCTCTTCTTACCCCAGCCCCTACCCCCAACTCCCTCTTGTCCTTAAAAGCTACTAAAAATAGAAAAAATTAGCCGGGCGCAGGGGCGGGCGCCTGTAGTCCCAGCTACTCGGGAGGCTGAGGCAGGAGAATGGCGTGAACCCGGGAGGTGGAGCTTGCAGTGAGCCGAGATTGCGCCACTGCACTCCAGCCTGGGAGACAGAGCGAGACTCCGTCTCAAAAAAAAAAAAGCTTCTTCCTGGTTTACACCTTAACCTCTTTATAGGATCCTAGTAAATGCCAAGGCTTGTGGAGGTGGAAGATTATAAATTAAAGCCACAGACACAGACATGGGGGAGGAGCCACCCAGGGGGTGGAAGGGCCACAACTTGAAAACAAATGAGCCTCTTTCATCCCAGTGGGATTTTTGTGTTTTAAGGTCTGCAGTTCCGGTGGGGCACTAAATCAGAAGCTATGGTTTCTGAGACTTACAGGAAGAACTATAACTAGAGAGTTGTCCATTTGTGTTTCCTGAGTTTCAGCAAAACTTGGGGGCCTAGAGAAGTCCTGTTATTTAAAAAAAGTGTCGTTTCTCCGTTAGCAAAATAGGTTTCACATTTTAAAAGTAGCTTAAAGCACAGCATCAACCATTCTTTCGTCCACAATTGAGACGTTCCATTAAATGATAGAAGGGGTCAGCTTTGAGAGATCTGACTAAATATCATTTAAGAAAAATTTGTCAGTTCGCAATTATCTGTGCTAGTGGAGGAGATCCAGGGACAGAATTCCACTGGGACTCTAAATCACTGTTCATTTGCATTTGGCATTATGAGGCATTTTAGTAATGAACACTTTAATATGGGTGTGCCTGCAGTTCTGGAAATTTACAACTGTTTATAGCAAATAACAAAGCTACTCAGTGAAGATGCTGACAGGGCTGGAATGCTGTCAAATGACTTTTCCAGCCTCTGGACCAACTGTTTACTGAGGCCTGGAAACAAAATAGGCTTTGGCTTCAGACAGGAAGGTTTAAATCCTTAGACTCACATATCAAGTAGTTTAGAAAAAAAAAATCCTGGCCGGGTGCGGTGGCTCAAGCCTATAATCGCAGCACTTTGGGAGGCCGAGACGGGCGGATCACGAGGTCAGGAGATCGAGACCATCCTGGCTAATACGGTGAAACCCCGTCTCTACTAAAAATACAAAAAACTAGCTGGGCGAGGTGGCGGGCGCCTGTGGTCCCAGCTACTCGGGAGGCTGAGGCAGGAGAATGGTGGGAACCCGGGAGGCGGAGCTTGCAGTGAGCTGAGGTCCGGCCACTGCACTCCAACCCGGGCGACAGAGCGAGACTCCGTCTCAAAAAAAAAAAAAAAAGAAAAAAGAAAAAAAAAATCCTGATGCTGCTGTGTGATTTTTCAGATTCCTCATTTGAAAAATGGGAAAAAGAAGTAATATCAAGTACCTTGGCCATGGTATCAGAGAATGACCTCAGAAGTTGTGAGGGAATTCTCAGACAAAACTTTGAAATATAATGCAGGATTCAATCAGGTATTATTTTAATCTTTAAGTAGTCTAGATGGGTTGCAAACTTCCATGAATAGAGGAGAGCTGCTAAGTACTTGGGTTAAGAGGGCTGGAGGCCAACTCCTGTATAAATTGTGACATTCTGTCTATATAGTATAAAGGGAGCTCAGCATGACCCAAGAAGGTCACAGACCAGAATCACTGGCTGAAACCTCTGGCCAGTGACCAACCTCAACTCAAAAGGTAAGTACATTTTGTGTTCCTAAGAATCCAGAAAGTTCGAAATTCCTATTAAAAAGTTGCTGCTGGTCAGGCACAGTGCCTCACACCTATAATCCCATCTCTACAAAAAATACAAAGAAGCCAGGCATAGTGATGGGCACCTGTAGTCCCAGCTACTGGGGAGGCTGAGGCAGGAGGATTGCTTGATCCCAGGAGGCAGAGGTTACAGTGAGCCAAGATTGTGCCACTGCACTCCAGCGTGGGTGACAGAGCAAGACCCTGTCTTTTAAAAAAAAAAAAAAAAGAAAAGGAAAAAAAAAGTTACTGCTTGCTAGAAGACTTGAGACCTTCCCATAGCCACATGAATGGGTATGGAGGTGAATTCGCCCCCAGGAGAGCCTTCAGATGAAAAGGTGGAAACCCAGTACCTTGACTACAGCCTTGTGAGAGAACGTAAATTATAAGCACCTAGCTAAGCTGTACCCCAGATTCCTGACCCAAAGAAACTGTGAGATAATAAATGTTTGTTGTTTAAAGCTGCTTTTTAAAAAAGAAGTTTCTGCCCTATGGTTTATCCACAGTCAGCTTATTCTGTGTGTTAATACGTGAACCATTATAATTCTCAAT